AACAATCTATATCTTAGTTGAATGTGTACAAAATTTCTATTTCTCATATATCTGTATCCTTCGTGTGTGTGTGTGTGTGTGTGTGTGTGTGTGTATGAGTTTACTGTGTCATTTATATTAGGGGATAGCAAACTATAGTCCTTTGTACATATTTTTGTAAGGCTAGCTAAGAAAGGTGTTTGCACATTTAAGGAAACTACAAAACCCAAAATATTTGTTATCTGACCCTTTACAGAGAAAAAGTTTGCAGATATGCCAGAGGTTGACAACTTTCTTCTGTAAAGGTCTCAACACTAAATATTGACCTTGCATTCTACATTGACCTCTACAGGTGGCTTATACCTACTTTCATTTTATTTTTATTCATTTTATTCATTCCTGTGAATGCTTTTGTTTCCACCTTTCTGTGTCATGTTTAAATGCATATACCTAGATTTTACTTTATGASCAGTCTGAGTAACTATTTAAATGGGGAATTAAATTTTGTCATTATTACTGCTACCAACATGTTTCAGTCCTGCTGTCTAATCACATTTTCTCTGTATTTCCCCTTTCCTGGCTTGTAAAAAAAAAAATTCACTGGGATTTTCTGATTCCTATCAGCTAAGGAAGTTACATATCCTATTACAATTATTTGCCCAATTACTTCACTACTCTCAGCTGTCCCCCATCTGCCAGGTGGGAGGGTGCTCTAACCCTATGTCAGTATGGTGCCACACACCAGTTCCATTAGGACCCCACAATCCATGCCTCTCACACCCATTGAGAAATGGCAGCAGCAAAGTGCCAGCCTCATCTCAGTGTCTTGCCTGCTGAGTTTCTGGTGTCAGGGACCAGCCTACAGTGACTCCATTAACAGAGGTCAGAAAAAGAGTCCTAAAGCCTACCCTGCAAACTCCTAGGTTAGGGCAACACCACATTTCTTTTTTTCACTACCTCAGCTCTATGACTGTCACCTGCTTCCTACAGGAATTAATTTCTAGATTACTTCAGCATCTCCTATATAAAATCATTTGGTGTGTATTAAAAATTCATGTACCAACAACCCCCCGCAATTTGAAATAGTGTAATTTACTTTTTTTTTTTTGACAAAATTTTGACAACTGCTGGCCACGACTGCCTGCTCAAATAATTGGGTTGTCATGTTATCTGTAATAAACAGACCAAAATTGAAAAATTAACTGTAAAAGACGATGTGCAATTTTATAGGTAATAAAGAGTTATAAGAATTGGATTAGCCAGGATCAATGGTGCAGGCATATAATCCCAGCGGCTCGGTAGTTTGAGGCAAGAGAACTGCGAATTTGAAGCCAGCCTCAGCAAAAGCCTAGTGCTAAGCAAATCCAGTGAAACCCTATCTCTAAATAAAATAAAAAATATGTTAGTTGAGTGCCCCTGAATTTAATCTCTGGTACCAAAATAAGATAATTGGATTAATAAAGTCTTTGCTACTATGGCATACTGTCTAAAATTAAGAATCACTGAGCCTGGCCTGGTGGCACTAAGGAGGCTAAGGCCGGAGAATCACAAGTTCAAAGCCAGCCTCAGCCACTTAGTGAGGCCCTAAGAAACTCAGKGAGACCCTGTCTCTAATAAAATATAAAAAAGGGCTGGGGATGTGGCTCTGTGGTTAGGCAGCTTTCAGTTCAATCCCCATTATTTAAAAAAATAAAAAGTCACTGGCATTAGCAGGGCACAGTACAGCAAGCCTAGAATCCTAGTAACTAAGGAAGCTAASGCAGAAGGTTTGCAAATTCAGGACCATCTTCAACAACTTAGTGAAAAAAAAATTTAAAACAGAAAATTTTAAATTAAAGGGGAGGGGGGGTCAGTGGTTAAGCCCATCTGGGTTCAATCCCTGCTACCCAGACACACAAAATAACCACCAACAGTGAATAGAAAAGACATTTAAGGAAGAAAAAAAAAAAAAAAACAGGAAACAAATTTATGCATTAAGACAAGTTTGTTAGTTTGTAAAATAAACTGTTAACAGTCTCACAATAGTCACCTCTACCTCTCTAGTATTCATTCTTTACAGTTAACTGATTCCACTTGCTCTAAATGCAACTAAACCTCTCCACTATTCATTGACGGAATTTAAAAGTACCATGCAAGATGATTTGTGTTCTCTGCTTTTCATTTAATGCTGATTCATGGAAATTGATAATTTTTAGTTCTATAAAGAAAGATAACTTTTAAAATACCATATCTGTAGTTAGGAAGGTAGTGTAAACCTTTCATCTTATTCTTATAAAACAAATATATATGAGATCGAACCCAGTGCCTCTCACACATGCTGGGCAAGTGTTCTCCACTGAGCCACAACCCCAGCCCTAAAACAAACAAAACAAATAATTCTCTATTTTCAAAGTCCTGCTTTTCATTATGATCCATGAACCGTTTAAACTGTTAAACTTAGGAACACTGAGTTTTCCACAAAACTTTCCATTTTGTCAAGTATGACAATTTAAGGGAATTAAAAAAAAAAAAAAAAAGCCTTCCTTACCCTATTACCCTATTATGTTAAAAAACTGTAAGGAGACAGATGATGTCCTGGCATTCAGAAAACCTTAGTGCTTTGGGCCACACACTTGGGTTAAATCACAATTTGAAATAGTAAAGAATTTCAAATGGAAAAAACTCTTTCCCCTATATGCCAATTATCAGTTGCTAGCCTTTCAGCTCAAAATTCACCCTTTTTGCCAGTGGTGTGAAAATGGATCTGTGCTCTATAAATATTTTGACATTTCGACTGACACAATGTCAAACTTTTTGTCAGTAGAGGGCATTGTAGCAATATTGCAAGAAGAGTGGGTTTTGCTTCTTGGTTTCCATGGCCTTAGCAATAGGCTCCTGCAGCCCAGATAGCATCTCCAAAATTTAGCTTCTCCTATGATCAGCTCCCATTCAGTGCTAGGCTTCTGTTGCCTTGCACAGCAGGCAGTGGTCTCCAGCAGCCAAAAGCCATTCCTAGTACTCTCTGGCAGGTCTGCAGCAGAGAGCCTCTTTTAAGAAACCTCCCTGCAAACAGTTTTCCCTCAGCACCATAGAGGGAAGAATTCTGGTGAGTTCCAGTAAGTTTTACTGACTTGAAATGACACCAATGCTACTTAGAAAGACCCGCCATGCCCCTTCCTAAGAGTCCAGACTTTAGTTTAAGAGGAACAGTCTTGACCCTAACACTATCTAACATAAAGGGAAAAAAGGTACAAGACAATGTATACTGTGTTTGCCATTGTTATCTTGACCAAATTCCAATTTTGAGTAAGGAAGAAGACAAAATAAACCTATGCAGCAAGTCTAGGTCACAACACAAACAGCTCWACCAACTGGCACTCATGATCCAGAAATGTTATCTGAATTATCTTTGGCAGACATGCTATAAAAGCCTTGGTCCAGCATACACTGCAGTAGCTCCTTGCTACAGATTATTAGTGGTAAAGAAGGAAGCTTTCCAAATCTTCACTACAGGGCAAATTTTGAGGAATTTCCAAAGGAAGGACCAACAGCTTTGATACCAGCATTAAAAAGGAATTGTCACCTTAGCTCTAATAGAAGCAGCTACTCCATACATCTACTATTCTTGGATTCTTGAGATTTCTTTCCTTTTAGTCAATCCATCACTATTCCAAACCCCARTTTGATTTAATAATTCCTTATGTTGCACTTTTTGTATTCAACTTAATTACAATTATTTAAGAGGTTTACCTTTCCTGATGAGACTAAGGCCTAATACACTTTAATTACAGGTCGGGTGCCTCCACTCAGTGATACAGAAACCAACACAAGAGCCTTATACAAGAGCCTTATTTAAACAACTAAGAATYCCTTTGGTTTTGCTTTCAATATTTAAAACTCACAATTATACTAGACTGATATGGGCTGAATTTAAGCATAGTACTAATAAGTCCATGACAAATTAATTCATATATTACTTAAAAGAGTTAGACCAGGGCCTGGGGTTGTGGCTCAGCAATAGAGTGCTCACTTAGCATGTGTAAGGCACTGGGTTTGATCCTCAGCACAACATAATAATAAATAAATAAAATAAAGATATTGTGTCCAACTACAACTAAGGAAAAAATTTCAAAAAAAAAGAGCTAGACCAGWCATGGTCTGACAGTTGGAATTCCTTTTCTAAACATGCTGTAATATAAACCTCATTACTTTCGGCGCCTAACTTAAAATCATCAGTTTTATAATCGTTTTAAGTAATTTCAATTGTCTCCTACTATTTCACAGATCTAAAAGTCCTAAAATATTATAGCGAAAATTAAAAATGACACAAAAATAATTTTTAATATTAAAAATAGCCACTCTTACATGTAATACTGACAATCTCAAACAGAACAAGTCAAGGTTATTGGCTTGTCTCTCTCCACGTTCCAACAGGATACTTCATAACCAGAGAGGTCTTAATCACAAGGAAACCCAAATAGGCATGTGATGGASGGATGGTAAGAAAAAGAGTGTCTTGAGAAAAACTTAAAATGAAAAAGAACCAGAGACATAGCTTCTTCAACCAGTTGCTGAATGTCTGAACAAAAACTTAAGCCTATTAAATTCAAATTATCTACCTGCAAAATCAAAAACCAAACCAACATACAAAAACTCCCATTAAAGTTACTCRAGGGAAAAAGCAGAGGGGGGAAAAAAATTCCAGGTAGGAAAAACTTGAGGTAGGAAGACTACAGCAGAAAGGAAACCCATGTCTGTAAAGATATTTTCAATGAACTTTAGAATCACATTCTTAATTTGTTAAACAATAAAAAGAATACTAAATATCAATGGCAGTTTTCAATCACTCCAAACTAAAATAAATATTTGAAACTAAATGGGAGGTTATGTCTAAAGATACTAAAGACCCAACAGAAATTACTCTAAAAATATTTTATAATGCTACTTTAAAGTCTGTTCTAAGGTCTGCTTTAGAAAAACAGAAATGCTGGTTTTACCTGGAAAAAAAAAAAATTTCCCCCCCCCAAAACTGTTTTTCTTACTTGAGAGAGTCCAGGGGACGATGCATGTCCCGGGGGCGTTGCCGCAAGATTTGGATGCCCCTTGTTTATTTCATGTGCTGAATAAGGGGAAGGGGTTGGGGGTCCCGGCTGTCTTGCTACTTGTGTTACCTGTAAAGAAATCAAAATTTAGTAAGAAAATTATATTAGTAACCCAATCCTAATAAATACAGATAAAATAGTTAACTCATCTTTAAAAACTGGGTTTTCCACTCAAAAGTTACACTAAAATAAGTACCAAACTGAATAAAGGCTTAAATTTTCAAAAATGAAAAATTTAAATTCTAAGAAAAAATACACATGAATATTTCCATAAATTTGATACAAGATTCCTGAAGTATGATATCAAAACCTAACGTTTAATAAGGAAAAATAAGTGAAAGAATTCACACAGCCGTTTTGGAAAAGGAACAAAAAAGAAATAAATGGCTACAGTGAAGGAGAGGATTATAAAAAGAGCACAAGGAGATTTTTGGAGGTCACAAAACTTTTTTTATCTTGACTAGTAAGAATTACATGATTATATGTTCCTTAAAATTCACAGGGGGAAAAAAAGGGTGAATTTTACTCTATAGAAATAATACCTCAATAAAACTGAACCTAAAAGGGGGCAAGTTATTACAAAATACAATTTCATTTTTTAATTTAAAAAAGTCTATCTAAAAATACATATACATGTACATACGTAGACATGTTTCTCCATGCATGTTTGCCTACATGTGTGCTCACAGATATACAAATACATACATACAATATTTAAAAGCTCTATAAGGAGAAAATATAAAAATCTTAAAGCATTACATGTATCTCTTTTCCCATTTATATTTTCTAATGTAATGCAATGAAGTTGAACTTATATAACAACAACACAAAAAAATTAGCATGCTTTTATGTACTCAGAATTATGTTTTCTCCATTTCTTGCTGGCAATAAATTGTCCATGAGACCATGACCATGATCAATAAGAAACTACTTCACTAGGGTCACTCCCAGAGTAYAGCAATCAATTTTACCAGGCACTTCTCCCTGACAGCAACCTAGATTAACAATGACATTTTGGCAAACCTCCATGAATGTTAGGCAACTTTATACTCTTCAAACATGAAAAAAATCTTTTCTCCATGAAACGTTTTTTTTCATGACCAGTGCTGGAGATTGAACTSGGCCTCACACATGCTCAGCAAACTGTTTACTACTGAGTACATCCATAGCCCTTTTTATTTTATTTTGAAACATAGTCTCACCAAATTGCCAGGGCTGGCCTCAAACTAGTGGACCTCCTGCCTCTGCCATTGGAGTAGACAGAATTACAGACATGTACCACCTCACACTACCTAGAGTATGGTTCTTATTTTGATGGGCCACGAACCCTGTGGCAATATAGCAGAAAATACAGATATGTTTTTATAATCATGTGGGTTTTTTTTTTGGGGGGGTGGTATTGAACTCAGGGGCACTCAACCACTGGGCCACATCCCCAGCCCTGTTTTTTTGTATTTTATTTAGAGACAGGGTCTCACTGAGTTGCTTAGTGTCTCGCTTTTACTGAGGCTGGCTTTGAACTCAAGGTCCTCCTGCCTCAGCCTCCTGAGGCACTGGGATTACAGGTGTGGGCCACTGCGCCTGGCATAATCATGTTTTTAAATGTATAAAATAAAAAATACACAATCATGTTTCTTAATGTGTGAAKTTAAAAAAAGAGAGATAAGAAAAACTAATTATAAACAATCCTCAATTTGCAATGGTTCCACATTCAAATTTTTACTTTATAACAGCTCAAAAGCATGCCTATACAACTATTATGTTTTTCACTTTCTGTGTAGTCAATAATGTTCACTTTCTGTGTATTCAATCATGTTTGGTTTTTTTTTTTTTTTTTTTGGGGGGGGCCACTGGGTTTGATCCTATTCAAGGTGCAAATTCCAAATTAGAATTTTGTTTTACATGGTTTTACAGAATTGCAGGCTAATGTAAGTACATTCAAGGAAGGCTGTGCTAAGTCATGATGTTCAGTACATTAGGTTATTTAAAGCATTTTCATCTTAAATATTTACAAACTTGTGATGGGTTTGGGAAATATGATCCCATCATAAATCAAGAAGCAGCTGCAGTGATATAAAAATATTAAGACCAATTCATACTGTAGTAATGTATATTCTTTAGTCTTATATCACTGCAACTGTTGTTTGCATTCAAAATTCAAAGAATGCTAAAATTCAATTAGATATTTCTTCCATCTCAATTCTTAGATCTTCTAAATTCTACCCAAGAGTTCAAAACTCTGTCCAGGAAGAAAAGCAAAGTGGTCTCCAAATGACATTAGATTTTCCCAGAATTTCCTCAGTCAGAAGCTCTATAGAAGTCTAGTTGTTGGTAATCAATCCCTACAATCCCTTATATATCTTGAAACAAAAACACACTTTAAGGTTCAGGTACCTGACCCCAAAGCTAAAACGAACTCCTATAAAACTAGCTAGAATCCAGAGCCACAATTGATGCTAACATCTGTGAGCAAAGATTAAGACTTTTTTTAAGTTATAAATTATTTTTTTGAATTTTTAGTTAAACATGACAGCAGAATGTATTTTGACACAGTATTTATACATGGAGTATAACTTCCCATTTTTGTGGTACTATATGATGTGGAGTTACACTGGTCATGTAATTCATATATGAACATGGGAAAGTTAGGTCTGCTTCATTCTACTGTCTTTCCCATTCCGATCTTCCTCTTCCCCCCACCCAGCTCTGTCCAATCCAGTGAACCTCCCCTTCTCCCCTTCCTCCCCTCAATGTGAGTCAGCATCCACATATCAGAGAGACTATTCAGCCTTTGGATTTTGGGGATTCGCTTATTTCACTTAGTATGATAGTCTCCAGTTCCATCCATTTACAGGCAAAGGCCATAAATTCATTCTTCCTTATGGCTGATAATATTCCACTGTGTGTATGTACCAYATTTTCCTTATCCATTCACGTGGTAAAGGGTACCTAGGTTGGTTCTACAGCTTAGCAATTGTGAACTGAACTGCTATAAACACTGATGTGGCCATGTCACGACAGTATGTGGCTTTTAAGTCCTTTGGGTATATACCAAGCAGTGGGATAACTGGGTCAAATGGTGGTTCCATTCCAAGTTTTCTAAGGAATCTCCCCATTACTTTCCACAGTGGTTGTACCAATTTGCAGTCCCACTAGCAATGAATGAGTATACCTTTTTCCTCACTTCTGACAACATTTATTGTTACTTGTATTTTTGGATAACTTCCATTGTGACTGGAAATGAAATCTCAGTTACTTTTAATATGCATTTCAAAGATTATGATTTATAATTGTCAATCTACTTTGTTCCTTGCTTCTTAATAATTTTGATTATCATTTTATTGGAAAACTTTGCTATTAAATTTGAGTGAACATTATTTTCTAAGAGCACAAGATTTACCATATATTACAACATTTATAAAGCTCATCAAAGGAAAAAATTGGATTGCTAATTAAACATCTACTTTAGAAAACTATCTGGAAATGAACACTAATAAGCAAATTTCTCACCAACTAAGCTTATAAATATGTATTCTTACCATGTATTTTTAGAACAAGTCATTTTGATATTCCAGTAATGTAAAACATCAATATTATATTACATAAAAGGTAAAATATTTAGACACTGGTATAAAAATACATAATAATAAAGTGGACATAAAAGGAAAACAAAGAAGTCAGCTATATAAAATCCATGTTAGATCAATTCTCCAATTTTACACTGAAAAAACAACAAATGATCAAATCTGCCCAGGACAAGAAGTCATAATATAGAAAACTTTTTTAAATGCCACTGATTTAAAATAAGCAAACATTAAATCAGTAAAGTGCATGTCAATTAAACTAGCAAAAGTAAAAAAGAAGAAAAAACAGCTCATGTATTATTGGCAAGGATCTAAGCAAATGGAATATACATAGGATACTATGAATAGGTTTACTATGTCCCCAGAACTATAGGGCAATGAGTCATAACTGTCTCAAAGCTATATTCCCCCCCTCATTATTCCATTTTGAGGTATGTGCACTAAGGAAATAATCTCAACTTAAATTAGGAAATTGAAATTAGGAACTTAAAGATACATCCAACAATACTATGAAGGAACAAAAAAAAGTTAGAAATGGTAAGCAATCAGGAAATGAAGCTATATCATTGAACAAAAAACATTAAATATGTAAATTGATACCAACTAAAATAAATATATAAAGTAATCAAGAATAAACAAGAAAAAGACACTAGTTAAATCCGTTAAGAGGCACCTTTATATAATGACAAAAACTAAGAAAACGATTACTGATAAAATTCAGTATTTGTCAGTTTCTTTTTCTGAAAATTACTTCAGATGCTTTTCTAGGGGGAGAATGGGAAAAAGATACTGAGAATGAACCCAGAGGTGAGGTCTCACTTTGCTAAGGGATCTAGTTAAATTATTGAAGCTGGCCTTGAAGTTAACAATCCTCCTGCTGAGGCCTCCAGAGTTGCCGGGATTACAAGTTAGTGCCTCAAAGCCCTCCTTGAGAATCCTTTCTTAAAGTATTATATAGCTCCATGAAATGCAAATGTCTATAGGGGGTGGTGGCACAAGCCTGTAATCTCAATGACCCTGGAGACTAGGGCAAGAGGAAGACAAATTCAAGACACGATACTTAGCAAGACTCTGCCGCAAAATAAATTTTTTTTTTTTTTAAAGAGAGAGTGAGAGAGGGGAGAGAGAGACAGAGAGAGAGAATTTTTAATATTTATTTTTTAGTTCTGGGCGGACACAACATCCCTGCTGGTACGCGGTGCTGAGGATCGAACCTGGGCCGCACGCACGCCAGGCGAGCGCGCTACCGCTTGAGCCACATCCCCAGCCCAAAATAAAATATTTTTAAAAGGGGACTCAGGATGGGTCTCAGTGGTTAAGTACTCCTGGGAACAAAAAATAAAATGTCTAGCTGGGGATGTGACTGAGTGATAGAGATACTGCATAGTATGTATGAGGCCCTTGGTTCTATCCCGAGCGACAGACAGGCAGACAGACAAGAGACAGATGTGTGTATGTCTAAGCGAAAGAGAAAATGTACTTTGT